TCCTACCGACCACTCACCTGCACTGTGGGGAGATAGTCTGTCATGAGATAGTCTCCGAAGATGTTGCGCATGATTTCAGCCATGCGCCGTTGCTGTGCTATGCAGCAGTGGTTCTCAATGGACAGCACCAACGGATAAGGTGACGCCAGAAACGCGTACTCGCGAATGCACACCACAACGTCTTCAAACTGTGCAAATGAGTGTCAGTGTAGTGTCAGTGCAATGTGGTTATTAATAAAACAGAATTTGAGTACGTACGAATGCACACCACAACGTCTTCAAACGGTGCAAATGAGTGTCAGTGCAGAGTGTATGTAAATATTAAACAGCAATGACAATGTACTCTATACTACATTCATCTGTTGATTCGTACCAAACAAGTTCCGGTACTACATACATTTATAAACCTTTACCAAACATCTAACGTCCTATATTACATCCATCTGCTGATTAACTTTTATGTCGCTATATTATATTCTTCTGTTAATTTGTACCAACCATTTAACGTCCTATATTACATCCATCTGTTGATTCGTACCAGCCATTTAACTTCATACCGAGATTTTTGAGATCAGTGTGTATCCGTGGTGTATGATTGGTTCGCCGCTGTCGCCATCCCAACAGTCCAATTCAATGCAGCGACAACCCGTCAGCAGCACCTGCGCGCACGAGATGTGATGTGAATACGTTAAGCGGTGAAGAGGTGCAGGCGTAGGGGGTTTATGAGATGTAACTTACAGGGTTTGAACGTTTATGGGATGTTGAAGAGGTTATGTTTTAGGGTAGAGGTTCAGTTTGCAGAGTTTTAATTTTCACGTGTTTGGGTTTTGACTTTAGGATTTTATAGGGTTTACAGTTTAAGCTTTTAGGGTTATACGATTCCGATTGCTGGGTTGAAGCCTATACACGTAAAAGATTCTAGGGTTTAGGGTTATACGATGTAGTTTGCAGGGGCTTACCTTTTATGGTTCGCTGGAGCACTCAAGTTTTAAGACTACTAAGACTACAAGATTCGGTTTACAGAGTTTGAGCTATAACGGTGCCATCAATAGAGTTAGGATTGCGAAATACCTATAGTAAAACCTGCCTCTAGGCCTCTGAAGGGACATGCACACACTCACCCATTGCCATACACACATACACCATGCTCTCCCTTGCCCATGCCCATTGATCTCTGACTCTGAGTGACATGCACACACTCACCCATTGCCATACACACATACACCATGCTCGCTCCCTTCCCCATGTCCATTGATCTCTGACTGTGAGCCACATGCACACACTCACCTTCTCATACATGTCCACCGTTGACAAGCCCTTGAGCTGGTGGTTGCTGACGTATGTGTTGTGTGACGTGTTGTGCCAGTATGCTGCCAGTGGCTGGTTCATGTTCTGGTGCACCGTGTCCTGGTTGTCGTTGACCAGCCAGTTCTCGGGTGCTTGTAGGTACAGCGTCAGGCCAGACACACTGAGCCTGAGAGGGGTTGGGGTGAGAGTCTAAAATTAGATAGTGCGTGTGCTATAAATAGATTTGCTCGTGCCAGATTACACCGCCTATTGGTCCCCATTGACCAACCATTCTCGGGTGCGTACAGGTGCATAGGCAGGGCAGACTAACTTCACACACAGCACACACCGAGCCTGTAGGAGTTCAGCGCCCGAGTCAATAGACCGAACATGTGCTATAATTAGACCTTGCTCATGTCCTTGTATACTGTGATCTTGCCCATATATCTATTTATAAACGAATCTATTTTAGCATTTATGAAGGAATCTATTTATAGCATTTATGGAGGAATCTAATTATAGCATTTATGGAGGAATCTATTTATAACGTTTATGGAGGAATCTATTTATAGCCACATTTCTTTCCTGCCGGCCACAATGCAAGCTGCAGTCATTGGCCTTGTGATTGTCGATGGCATTGCGCGCTATGGCGGGTGTGGCATCCAGCACACACTTTAACAGACTCAGAAGGTAATATACCTACCTACAATAATAATTCTCACACATCTAGTATTAAAAGTATCTATTTATGGAACAATCTTTTTATAGACATTCTTTCTTACCGGCCCAGTTCCAGGTTGCGGACGTCGTCCTCGTACTTGTTGATAATGCTGCGTGCCATAGCCAGCGTGGCGTCTGGCACACACTGCACCGACTTCAGAAACTGCACAAACTCAAAGGTCTCCATGTACACCTGCATTTTCTTCTGCGACTGTCCTGCTGTGGAGTTCTTGTAGATGGTGGCTGCAGGAGTAAGGATATAAATAGAATGCAACATTTGATTTTCTGATTGGCGGTGGGCACACGAGTGATGGTGGCTGCAGGAGGAAGGATATAAATAGAATGCAACATTTGATTTTCTGATTGGCGGTGGGCACACTAGTGATGGTGGCTGCAGGAGGAAGGATATAAATAGAATGCACCCTTTGATTGGCTTATTGATGATGACCACACAAGTGATGGTGGGTACAGGAGTAAGGATATAGATTGGCTGATTGTTGATGGCTACATAATTGATGGTGGCTGCTCTAAATAGATGGCCGATTGATAGTGGCTACATAATTGATGGTGGCTGCAGGAATAAGGATATAAATAGAATGCACCAATGATCAATCTACCGATAGTAGTTTCGAGGTATGTCAATATATTAGAAATCAAGTTTATGATTGGATGCACCAATGGCTTCAATATAAGATACAAATATCAAGCATAATAACATAAAAGTTTAAAACAGGAAAAGTTATAAATGTACAACAGGGTAAGACATCAATACAAAACAAGCTAAAATATAATATACAACGGTAAGGCATAAATATAAAACAAGCTGTACGAAACTGCACAACAGGGTACGATATAACGGTACAACAGGGAAAGATATGAGTATAAAACAGGAAGTTACAAATAAGAGTGATCTATTACTGAAGCATGTAATGCTTACCGCTTTTCTCAGCAACCGCTTTGATATCTGATCGCAGGTTCAGCAATCCGTACAGTTTGACGAATAAATCCAGCGTCATGTCCTGACCGTCAACTAACATATACTGTATAAAAGTAT